GTCTGAACAAGCCCAGTTCTCACAGCCTTTCGTCATAGGAGAGGTGCTCCAGCCCTCACCTTGTGTCCAGAGGCAGAGAAGGAGGGCAGGGAACTGTTACTGGTAAGGCTGAGGGTGAACAGATACGAAGGGTCCTAGCATCAACACCACCAGCAACGGGCTGTTGGCCAGGGTGCGATTCCGTGCTACTACCAGACGGCGCGAAACAGCATGCCCCACGGCGCGCCCAGCACAGCCCCCAGACTCTTCTTCTCCCTTGGTGAAGAGATCCGTGCCCCTCTGACCCCCCGCTCGGAGCGTTTTCTTCCTCTGGCCTCCCCACTCTTTACCTCCCGATGTCCCCCCAGCACTTCCCAATCCCTGCTCCTTCCCACCACCTCTCGCTCCAGGCAATGAAGATTGGGTGATTCAACAGGACAATTAACAAGGGCCGCTCTTGAGCCTCAGGGCTTACAAGGGAGGCTACACTGCAAAACAAAACCACTGCTGAGATGGAGCGTCCACACGGAGAAACTACGTAGGTGTAACCACAGGGGTTTAACTACGATGACCTTGTAATGCCAGCAAACGTCCCCGTGTTTGCAGGCCTTCGGGGCCGGTTCCCTCAATGGGCCAACCGGGAATGGAGAGTTGCTGAGTCTCCCTCCAACCGCCCGACCACCAATCCAGCTGGTGCTGTCACCGGATCGGAAAAGCCCTGCCACGGCTATGCAGAGCGAGTGCGTGAGCAGGTTTGGACATGCCAGCAATCAGCAAGGACAACTCACCTCGGTTTTGGTCTTTTTGGGAGCGTTGGTGTCCTCCCCTTCACTCTCTGAGATCTCTTCTGTTCGACCCTGCTTGCTGCCCTTGGGGGTGCAGGATTCCTCCACCCGGCCTTTCTGCAAGGGAGAGAAGGAGAACAAGGGGGTGGGAGGGTCGTGGGGAAACCTCCCGCCCTGCCAGACCCCCACAGCCTGCAGCAGGTGAGACACAGCCCCCACAGCACGGCTGTCGGAGGGCTTAGTAGGGCAACCCTGAGCCAGAAGAGTGGCAAAAATTAGCACTGAAAAGGGCGGGTGACCCTGAAGACCTTGGAAGATGATGTGCAAGATGCTGAGGATGAGAGGAAATAGGGATCCCACCCGTTCCAAAGAGCTAACCCAGCATGGGTTCCTTGGTGGATCCCTTCTGGTCTGCATCCCTGGATCCCCAAATAGATCCTACCCGGGCTGGGCAGTCCTGGGGCACCCCACGCTGACGTACAAGCTTACACTACCTTTGTTGCCTGTCGGGATTTCTCCGCCTTGCCATCACTGCTGGAGGTGCTGACGCCCCCAGGGGAAGCTCGACCCCGCGACCTGAGCTCCTCTCGGGGCCCTGGAGTCTCTTTCTTCCGTCCACTCCGCATTGACATCTGAGAGAGGGATCACTGCTTCAGTCCTGCTTTGCATCTCCCTCCACTCCTGCCCTGTCCCCAGCCTCCCAAAGCCCCCAAACCCCGGGCACCCCACAAAGCCAAACTCATGTCCACAAGCTTTGCCGCGTATCCCAACCCACCATTTGGCTCCGGTGTCCCACAGGCCCCTTCCCATCTCACGTACCGAGTCCTTGTTCTGTCGTGTCTTCATTCTTTTGGGTGCAGGACCCCCATTCTCCTTGGCTCGGTTTGATGAAAACATAAATTTTTATCGCTCCGCACCCCCCTCCGGCTGCTTCCGGCGAGGCGGAGACAGGCAAGAGGAGTTCTTCTGGAAGGGGTGCTTGCACCAGCAGCAAGATCCTGC